TGTTTCTTACGAATGTTGTGTGATAACTGCAACAAACAGATCGCATGCGCGCTCGCATTTGCTATCGTATTCATATTTACTGATATTCCAGCACCAAAAAAAACTAACCGCAGTAAAAAGATATGGATATCCGGTACATGCGCAGGCAACACGAGAGACAAGATCGCAGCGGCCGCAAATTTAGGCGAGTACTATCTTCGACTCGGAGGCCATGGTTGCCTTCTTATGCCACCTGGAGTTGTAGTTGTACACAGAATGAAGGCAACTTGTCGGCAGCAAATCAGGTAGAAAGGCCCTCTGTCATGGTTAGAAACGCCTGGGGGAGTTCGTGAATTTTGCATAGTTACGCGTAAAACAACTGCATCGGATAACACAACGCGCATTGGTAGCAGGAAGGGATGGCGGCAGCTCTCAGATCACGGCTCATTCGAATGGGCTCGACCAACCTTCCCGTTCGGCGCAGTCATAATCCTCTTGAGAGGTGGCAGCCTCATGAGTCGCGAGTCCCTCGAGTCATGGTTTTCCGTCTCGCAGTTCATAAGCAATCACGCTAATCTCCTTCTCTATCTAACCCCCAGGCTTCGTCTGGATATGGGTATTAACCATGCGGGAAGCCGATGAATGGATGCTGCTTTCAGTGACAGCTTCGAAAATTCAACCTGCCGAGTGATAATAACGCTAGTCCGAAATGCCTCCATTTAAATCACGGCAGTTAACAACTTGGATGACGATGAATAGGTTCCTACAATGAATGAGCGAGGGGATGATTTTATAGGGTGTAATTGCATAGAACCTGCCCTCTCTATGAGCCCTCTATCCTCTTCTGGTACTGAGTTTGATGATGTGTTCGAGCTCGAATGCGAAACACTAGATAAACAAGAGCACTGTTTCAACGGTCGAGTGCCCTTATTCCAAACTGCTTCCCAGAACTGATCTTTTTCCCTGCGTTGACACGTCTAACTGTTTTGAAGAAAAAGATGGGTTCACGCGGAACGGGTTCATTTAGGTTCTGACGTTTCGAAGAGCTTGGTCGGCTCCCCATTGTTAAGGCGCAAAATACCCTTGGCAGTTCGACCGTCGATTTTGACGATTTCCACCGTCTGCCCACAGCAGTGTGAGAGTAGGGACAGTGACTTGCGCGTGAGTTGGCTTACATTGGTAGTGGACTTGCACAGCACCTACCGCACTCTCTCCTCCCCCACCTGTGCCCGGTGTCAAGATAGAGTCAAGAAGACTGGAGGCGGGGGAGGGTGCAGGTGCCTGGCGCGGTCGGGCCCGCACCTTGGCGCTCCACTCCGCACCCCCTGATCCACACAGAAAATGACCAAGATTTTAACCAGCGACAAAAATTGGTGGTGGCTGGGGTCCCAATGTGCGCGGTGTGAGGGTGCAGGTGAACTCACAACCACACCCCAAATGTTAGCATTTGTTATGGGTGCGCATTCCAGATAAAGTCTGACGGACTCCGATCTAGCCCACTGGGTTGGTCTAGCACATCTACCGTGTGGCCCGTTTAAGGGGTAGATAAGTGCACTTAATCGACCAGGAACTGAAGTGGCATGTCGCGTTGGTCGGCCTCATGCCGATAAATATTTCTCATTTCTCGCTGCCTCGACCTCTCGGGTGATGGTAAGAGGCGTTTTATCTGCGTCGTCAAAACAACTGACATTGAACACCTGAAGGAACTACTGGACTCGGTTTACTCGGACATTGGAAACAGAAACAAACAACCAACTGCCCTTCCTTGACGCGTTTTTGCGCCGGTGTAAAACTGGACAACTGCGAACCACAGTGTTCAGAAAATCCATCGGCACGAGGTAAATCCTGCACTTCAAAGCAATCATCCTGTGTCTAACGAACGTAGCTGTGTCGTACTCTATTTCAAAGAGTTGAAACACACTGCAGCACGTCAGAAGATAAAAGGACCGAGCGACTGTACCTTCAGAACCTTTTTGCAACCAATGGTTTTCCCAGGCATTTTATCGAGAGAAGCAGGCGTCGAGCGCACAGACGACAGCCAAGTGGACGACAACCCGAAGTCTGGAGGACCATTTCCTACGTTAAAGTGGTCTCCGAGGCGTTCTCTCGTATATTAAAACCCCCCAGAGTAGGCATAGTCCATCGACCCCGGGAAACAATTTGGCGTCGTCTAATGCAACCTACGGACACTCTGCCACCCGCTGAAACCTCAGCAGTTGTCTACTAAATAAGTTGCAATGAGTACGACTGCAGCTATGTTTGGGAAACAGGGCGGAAATCGCAGACCCACCTACAAGAGCACAAATCGGCGACTCGGAAGCTAGATGCAATCGTCCAAATACCAACGCACTTTGGAGAAACTGGACATACTTTTGGCTGCCAGAGAGCTACCATCTTAGGCCGGGGCAACACAAAAGCAGAACGGCTAGCACTCGAGGCATGGTACTCCGATGCCAACCCATCAACAAGCATCTGGACCTTCCTGCCTCTTACAGAGTCCTGCGTCACCACGTCCGTAGAGCTCAGGACTAAACAACCACACTGGACTCAAGGAGGCCATGCAGAGACGGCCCAACGACAAGTTTATTCGGCGAGGAGGAAGAAGAAGAACCGTCAGGCCGACCATCCGACAGAGGTTCAATCACATCCCCAAACGAAGCGGTGAGTCACAATGCACACAGATAAAACGCCCGCCAGCCTTACCCTGAGAGGCCGAGGCAGTGAGAGAAGAGAAACATTGATCAACATAAGGCTGACCAACACGACATGCTACTTGAAATTTCTGTTCGATCAAGTACATTTTACGCTTTGATAATAGGGAGCCGACAAAGCTCTTCGAAAAGTCAGCACCTAAATGAACCCGTTCCGGTGAGCCCAGCTTTTTCTTCAAATCACGAACCCGGATCTCTAAACTTTGCCAATCTCAACTCCTTATTGTGCCGATAGATCGTTTAAGACGAGGGGAGGCTGGGACTGTAGATGTTTTTGGCTTATTTTCACCTTCTTTATCCAGTCCGTTCCGCCAGCACCTGTTGCTTAAACATCGCAGGCGCCGAGATCTAAGATGGTCTCACGGGTGCGGACGAATTCTCAGAGTATGTGCAAGTTTGTTTGAAATGCTATTGACTCTCCCTGCATGCGTCCTACCTCATTATTTCTTTGATCGGTGCGCGTTCTGATGGCAGCGCAAGTCGGGGCGGAACAAGTGCAGTGACTAAGCATTCCGCGTGCGCGTGTCACACTCAAACCGATCCCGAAATCCTCACGTACCACACTTCGATGAGAGGGTCTTGAATCCCACGTTGGCGGCTGTATTTTGACGCCCATTCCTCGGCAGGACTATGATGTGGCACTAACTGACGGCCACCCAAAATATGACTAGTGCTACATCCTGGGATTTAGAAAACGCATTTGTTAGTTTCTAGTAAGGGAAGTAAGTGTCAGATTTGAACTGGAGGGACATCTCTCCCTCTTACACGTCCGAGCCAAACAGTCATGAAATGAGATCGAGTGATTTGGCTGGCACGGCGTCACTCCACCATTTAACATATCACACAAGGAACAAGATCGTGTGTGCATGCGAGATGTCGTCAGGTAAAATAGAGGTCTTTGCAGGTTGGTTGCCAGTCCTGAATAGGTTCAAATCATTTCGCCGGTCGGCCACCCTCTAGGTCGTGCTTCCGGCTGTGCCGTGATCAGTTCAAGCACGTGTGATTTATAAGAGTGAGTAATGCACTGAATTGCCAGGATTAAGACTACCTCAGTATCTCCCCTCTACCACGCACCGGTAGCCTGTCCAATCCATTCATCCAACTGGGACTGAGATTTGTGGCAGTGGCCGGGGCGACGTAAAGCGTCCACTCTACGCCTGCCATACACATGTACGGCAGTCACCAGACTTTCACGAGGTCTCACAGCGGCCCGACCAACGCATGCCATGAGCCAATGCGATTGCCCTTTGATCTCACGCTTCTGCAGGGCAACCTGTTAGGGGACCGATCAACGCTTGCCACCGGAAAGACAAGCATGCGTAATCGCACTCCGCATATGGTCCACACATTGAGTCTGATCGATGTCAGCAGTCCCAGTGAATCAAAGTCCATAAATACCGGACCCGTCAGAGCACTCTGTTGATAGTAGAAGTATACAGGACATACAGGACAAATTCATAAATTTCAACTACTAGCCCATCGTTTAAGAATTTGTCTTTTCGGTGAGTAGGGTGTTTCCGTCGGCGTTGAGAAGAGCAGTTCCTTTGGTTGGCGCACCGTGGACAGCCTTAATTGTGGGGAAGAAATTCTTCCATTCGTTGCAATCCGCTTACCCTTGGATCTCCACGCGTCCTGCATCTCGCGCAGCATCTGTCGCACAGGGCTAGTAGTTGGAATTTATGAATTTTTCCGACTAATCAGAGTAAGGTTTGTGTATTGAATACTGTTCGTAATGTTGTTGGCCAATTTACTGTTAAGACGCCAGTTAGGGTCGAACACCAACGCGGGCACTTCGAATGCCTTCTCAATTTAGACAGTCAACCAACCACCGTCTTTTCAGTAACGGAGTTCCGTTCCCCTTCAGCTTATGCAGTGTCCTATGACCTCAGTCCTGGGAAATAATGAATGCGTTACTGGCGGCTGTGGAAAATCATGCTGAAATTCGGCTTCCACAAACGATTCACTAAGATGGTGCGTCAGCTCCACGATGGCATGATGGCGTGGGTCACGGTCAACAGAACTGTCTCAGAGGCATTTGCAGTGACCGACGGAGTGAAGCAGGGCTGTTTCCTCGCGCCTGCCCTCTTCAGTCTCCTCTTCACTGCCATGCTAATGGACGCCTACCGTGACGGACGCCGCGGGATCCCCATCGCCCACAGGACGGACAGCCAACTGCTCAACCACCGGCGGATGCACTTTCAGTTGAGTGTATTCACAACGATCGTCTCATGTTATCTGCCATGCTGATGGACGACCAGCGTGAAGAACGCCCCGGGATCCATTTCGCCTAGAGGATGGACGGACAAGTCCTCAAACGTCGGTGGAGGCCCTTCCAGTCGCGTGTCCACAACTACCGTCCACGAGCTTCTCTTCGTCGATGACTGCGTTCCCAACACCACCTTCGAAGGGGACATGCAAAAGAGCATGGACCTCTTCGCCGCCGCCGCCGTCTGTGAGAACTTCGGCCTGATCATCAACACGGAGAAGACGGTGGTCATGTATCAACCGCCACCCAATACTGCCCACAATGCGCAGCAAATCAATTTGAACGGAACCCAACTGCAAGTGACGGACAATTTCACGTATCTGGGCAGCACCCTCTGCCGCAGCACCAAAATCGACAAGGAAGTGGCCCACCGGATTTCCAAGGCCAGCCAAGCCTTCGGTCGTCTTCAAAACACAGTTCGGAATCGTCACGGTCTTTAACTGAACGAGAAACTGAAGATGTGCGAGGTGGTCATCATACCGACGCTGCTTTATGGAGCGGAGACTCGGACGGTGTACAAGAAGCAGGCGCGAAGACTCAATCATTTCCGACGGATATTGAAGCTGAGACGGCAGGACCTGATCCCGGGCAGGGATGTACTGGAACGCACGAGAAATTTTAGCATGCAGTGAAGACAGGCGCGGTGGTCTACGGAGTTAACAGCATCGCCACCGTCAAAGTCAAAAGCGAGGCTCGAAAATCTCAACTGCGTCTGCCATGCAACGCCAAACCTCGACCACCTCCGACCTTTTCACGCTGTCAGCGGAGGATCTGAGCACCGATCGGCCTTGTTAGACACCTCCGCACGGACTGTAGCACCCGGACTACACCGGCTGCCGTCTCCTCGTCCAGCTCTGCCTCATCCTCCACGCCGACAATTAACATTGACCGCACTCCCAAACCACCACTTCCATCCTCCTCCTCCGACTCCACGTCTGCCGCTGTGGCATCTGCTATGCCCATCAACACTACACGCACTCCTGACACTCCAACACCACCGTCAACGCCAGTGACGACGACCTAGTCTATACCTGTCCTCATTGCGACTACACCTTCACCTCACACATCGTCCTGGTCGGTCACTTGAGGATCCATCGCAGACTGGCGGGCCAATGCCTGGAGCACCAATCCACACCCGCCTGCGCTGTCTACACTGCCCTGCACATTCACTAACCGCATGGGGCTACTGGGCCACATGCGCATTCACGAAAACCTACAGTAGACAATTGCCGGCTACACCACACCACCAAATCTTCCCCCGCCTACATCACACAACATCATCGCCCACCACCAACATCCAAATGCTACCTCCCACGCAAGTGCGAAGTGTGCGCCGCGGCTCCGTCTCCATGCTGCTTCTTTGCTGCATGTGATCCGCGACTGAGACTACCACGACGCATCAAGCGCTGTGGCTTGGAAGGCTGCTAACTGACGCCTCAACTCATTCCACGCAGTCTGCCCAGTTTTGCGTGCGTATGTGTGGAGTAACTGGCCTGTGAGCTGAGAGCCAGGCTGAAGCGGCTCCCTAAAGTGACCTACGGTACTCTCACGCATGTGAGAAGTACGCCGCTTAACCCCCACCCCCTTGTATGAAATCCTGGTGCTTATGTTTGGGCGGCCAGGTCGTGCATGTGGCGAGCGCAGACAAGGTCACTTGATATGTCAGCCGCAGCGCCCATTCCCCGCACCTGTCAACTTACCGCCTCGGACAGTGACTGGGGCCCGCGAACGGGAAGAGAGAGAGGTCGACGACTCAGCGCATTTCCCTCACTATAAGAAATCTGACGCGCTTAGAGCTATCACGGTGCTCTAGAAGCCGTGGCTTAGAAGGTTGCCAACTGACGACATAACTCGGACCTCGCAGTCGGCCCAGTGTTGTCTTTGTGTGCGGCGGCCGGCTGGTGGTCTAAGAGTCAAGCTGCGATGGCTACTTCTTAATATGGCCTTTGTGGCACTCCCACTTCGTGGGATCCGAGCCAGGGGTGACGGTACGCGCAGGTGCGGCTTCGGCGGCGCCAGTCCCTTCTGTCGTTTTTGTAGGTTAAAATCCTGGTCATTTGTTGTGTGAACAGGGAGTGTAGAGTAGAGCGCCAAGGTGCGGGCTTGATCGTGCCATCCACCTGCGCCCCCCCCCCCGCACAACCTCCGGTCTTCTTGACTTTGTGTTGACCCCGAGTACTCGTGGGGGAGGAGAGAGTGTGGTAGATAATGTGCAAGGCTACATTCACTATAAACTAAATTACGCGCAAGTCATCGTGTCTGCTTCAGCTTGCTGTGGAGCACACGGTGGGCATCGTCGACAACGACGCTCGAACTATCAAATGTGGAAGGCGTGAGTGTGGGACCGTATGTCACCCTATAAAAGGGCGACTGGTTGAGCTCTTCGTTAGATAACTGGAGGAGAGGGAGAGGTTAAACGCACTTTTAGGGGGAAGTAATGTGACTTCGCGAGAAACGCGATGGAGTGAAAATCCGTCGACATGCAAAGTGGCAGCAGTGTGATCGAAAGCGCCGACTGCTGAGATGGTGTTTCAAATAAATCAATCACTAGGGGCATGTTCAGGGCTGACTGTGTATGTGTATGGGGGGGGGGAGTGGGGGCTAGAAAGCGCACACGCGTGCGCGTCAGGGCGGACTATGAGAAACATGGGGGAGAATGAGTGTGCCAATGTGAAGGGAGGACGTGCTTGCTAGCACGGGCAAACCAGTCGGGTATCAGGTGCCCAGTTGCAATACATTGTCCTCTTGCATATGGATTCGTACGCTAATGGAGTGAGCGGACGCAAAGACAGAAAATAAAAAACGAAAAAAATAACAGTAAGTGTGAGGCAGGCGTGTTTGAATTACACGCGGGTGTGTACGTGAACAGACAGCAGTAATAGTTGGGGGAAGACGTAAGATTCACCTCAACAACTGCTTCCTGTCTTCGTGGTCGTAGCCCTAAGGTCCACGGAAAGAGGTCAAAAACATTTGCATGGAGCTAAGGGCCGGTGGATTATATCATACAAGACGAATTTTGGGGGTGCGAGATAGGAGAGGGACAAGATGGTAATATTTGTTTTTGGACAGAAAGAGTGGGGCGACCAGTCCTCCCCTCTCCGCTCCCTACTGGCACATGTAGATCTTGCAGGTGGCGTCGGCACCGGCGCTGGCGGCGAAGGGGAGAGTTTGGTGCATGGCCACGTGATGCACCCCTTCATTGTTCTTGGTTCGGTGGCAGGTCATCTCTTGTACACAGGTCCGCGTCTCCAGGTCCCACAGTCGGATCGACTTGTCGTGACCTACACCGAGGGAAGAGATAAACAAGGCCAGCGTGAACAGACAGCCAATAAAACGCATTCCGAGGATCAGTAGAGGAACTTGAGTAAAAAACCGGCCGATTGACTATATAGGCACTACAAGTGATTTTACGACTGCACGAGAAAATGATGTCTTGGGACTTTGGGTACAGAGTTGCCGCAGATTTCGAGGTGAAGACAAAAAAATCTGGCTTTAACGGCAGTATCTGGTTACTCTGATTATCGGCAATTGGCGCACAAGCCACAGGGCTTGAAGACAAGAGAGTTGGACATGAGCAAGTGGGCTTTCGGTCTGTCAATGGAAAACGGACACACATGCAGAAGCTCAGCTACTTCCGGAGGGGATATTGAAGGTGAAAAGGCAGCAGCCAATGTCAAGCACACATGGACTGGCACGCTGAATATCACCAAACAGTCGAAAAGGATCCAACTTCGATGAAGCGATCACGCACCCAAGATATCATACTAGCGCATGCGAAAATGATTGTTTTCGGGAAGTGTTGTCAAACTTGCTTGAAGAAAATGACCATCTAAGGATACAAAGGAGTTCGGCCAGATATTTTGGCATCAATCATGAGCCCTTACAGGTCGCTGTGAAAACCAGAGGATCCGTTTTCAAAAATAGAACACGGGAAGCTAAATAAAAATGAGAATGGGAGAGCGGGGCACAAATTCGGGACGCAGACCGTGGTCCCGCTCAAACGATTAACACGACCAGCCAAGTGGCACCCACTAAGTCAGGAATTGTAATGCAAAGCGGCAGTTTAAGTACAAGCCAATCGGGCTGCGGCAAAGAAATTATACTCGGAATCGACATCTTTGTCTTTACCCGATCGCATCATGCTCTACCGACAAGACTACGTGCAGCGACTGACCGGACATTCTGCCCGTCCAACGCCTTCCGCACAACCTACTGACATGGGACAGGAAGCCCGTAAATGCTGAGCCCACCTGTTATGTTACTTAGGAGTTGCGCGGACAATGCACGGACGACAGATAGCGAAGCAACCTTCGGTGAAAACTGGGTGAAAAATCGACAGGCTGTCAGGTTAGACGAAGAAACATTCACGAACCACGAGGTGATAATACCTTCAGACATGAGTGGGCACCAATATGCGCCGGCATTTATAAATAATTAACACAGTGGGCGTTACTGCAACCTGGTCCTCCGTCCCGAACATGACTGAGTTAGGACACATATTAATCACCCTGAAAGCCACCACTATAAGCCCATCGTGAGGTCAAAAATGCATCAAACTGTCTGTAACGAGGAAACTAGGCATTGGATCGACTTCACAACCTCTCCCCTCACCCCTATGTCAGTAGCTTATCTGAATCGAGCCGACCGGCTACCCAAAGAGGTTGCGGTTGTAGCAACATAATGGATGTTGGCTGCCATTCAATAAGACTTAAAATGCCGTCAAGCACAGCCATGGAAGGTTAAGCTGTCGTGCTAGAGGGGTGGGTGGAAATATTCACCCCCCTCCCCCCAACAATCCTCGAAGTACAGGAAAACATCCCTCCAGGAAGTCGTCCCACGCAACTGCTGTCCGGTTAGCCGTGAGTTGCCCGTACTTTGGACAATCGGACTTGCCACGAGGAGCAAGTTCCCGCCCAAACGATACCTAATAGGTTGAGAACTGGGGGTTATGCAAAGCGCCAGGATCCAGGTAGTCAAGTAAACTGAGGAACGTTGGTGCAACACTTAGCCTCATGTCGTCACAGCATGCTCCACAACGAGAAATTAAGGACGTACAAGAGAAATTTCCAGATTACGCTCCCACACAGGACGGAGACGTGAACAGTCTACGAAAGCCGGGAAGGAAAACTATGCACCTTCAACGTCAGTCGCCTCCAAAGAATGTCGACATGAAGTGGGAGGAGAGGATCCGGGGCAACGGTGTACTGGAGAGGGTGTGTTATGCTGAAGCAGATCCAACTGCGGTAGAGCGGTCATGTCATGAGGATGGCTGACAGGTGCCTCTGCAAGCGACTATTCTTTGGTGACGTCGCTGCGGGTGCATGCAAACAAGCCGGGCAGGAACGACAACGCAACGGCAACCTGAAGACTACTCCCAGACACCCACAAATCAACCAGACTTTGAAAACGCTTGTACAGGATTCCAAACCATGACGGACAGACGACAAATTTGGAGCAGTTATCCCCGATGAAAACCGAATAAAGGAAAAGGAGTTGAAACGACAGACTGAAGTATCACAAACCAATAACGACAACGCCCAACTATCATCAATGTTTCCATTGTCGCCGCACGTTAAGATGCAAGATCAGTGTTAATGGTCACCAGATCCACCGCAATGTCAACACCAGTAGCCCAGCCCATTCATAACGAAACTATCACAGCACCGGCATCATCATTGAGATCATTTCCCCACACCTGCCCTGACCGCAACACAGTGGGCCAGCTGCAGTTTGCTCTGGTCGTATATCTTCCCAACCACTGCAACGGTAAGGTTGCCAGGACCCAGAGGACACTGTCTACTGCCATCAGCAATGTAGACGCTGCGTCACACTGCTGACCGCACACCCCAATCACGGAGTAGTTACAGAACCCATCACGTCGCACCACACCCGTCACTCGGGTCTTTCCTTGCCCACACCACATTGGCCACCGCGAGGGTCTATACGATTATATGCACATACCC